ACCGTATCTCGTTCAGCACGCATTCAGCATTAAACGGCACTGCAAAAATGTGGCATTTTGAACCAATTGTATAAGTAATACAAGATTTAATACGTAGTTAAACGTAATGTTATCGGGGCACAAATACTTTAATTTTGCAGTACTTATTTGTTAGACTGATTGGCGCAGGCGTTTTTGTCAAAATAGCGCAAACTATAATACTGCATGAACGTATTGGCCGACCAATAACTCTCTATTACCAGGCAACTTGTTCCCTAATTCCTGCTTACCTGTTCCTGTAATTGTTATACGTCTCTTTGATCTTTCGGTACCGGAAGGCCAACTTTCGCATCCAGTCGACTCCTCCTCTCACACCGGCTGCCAAACATAAATTGCCGCTGCCCGCTGCTGATGCATGGAATCCATCTGATGTAAAGTTGTAATTGGATAAGTCCTGCCCATTGTCGTCAGATGATACGTCATCAATGTGCACTTGATCGCATTCCTGCGAACATTTTCAGTAAAACCGTCTAGTTGGGTTTCAACAGCCAGACCCTCACCTCAATGTCGTTGAAAAAGAAATGAGTATCTGCTAAGTTGAAGACCATTTCCTCCATCTTGAACCCCAATTGGACCACGTTTTGAGCATCCTGGAAAATGTCGCTAATTTATTTAGGCCTGATGTTAACTAGCTTTTGATTTTACACCGATCCAATTACTGTTATCAAACGTTTGCCCGGGTTTTTGCTCATACTTAGAGAATCCTTAAAGGAACAGTGACAAAAAGTGCACTCACTTTGTGGTATTTGGTAGCATAGCTGCCAGTCAACAGGGTGTGAAAGATTATAATAGTTTCATCCAAATCCCAGATGAACACTCGGTCTGTTTTCGATTCGGGGGTTGTGGGAGACACTGTGTTGGTCCGCCTGCCCCTACCTCGAGCCCTTGGCTCGGCTGCAAGATCAAACCACTTAAACATCCTACTTACACATACAGCCAAACATCCTACTTACCCAGACTGCTCGTAGAATCCCTGGTGCGCCGCGCATTGTCGGCTTTCATTGGCGAAGCGGATCCCTCTGTGAGGCTGACGCCATTCGAGGGGCTATCTGCAACAAACACAGCCCCTTAGAGACATGGTTACTGCGCCCGAAGGGGCTACCTTCATGCTCGGACTCTGAGTCACTGGTGTCACTGTAGGGGCATAGCAACGTTTGCATCATGCCCTTTCTGCCTCTGGCCTGCACTGACCTGTCGCGGGGCTTTGTTGACTAGTGATTTTTGGTTAGTTTGAGCCCAGCTCTTCCGCATTTTGTGAAGTTGCTTGTACGTTTTTTATTGATTTGAGTTCCAACTGTTTATCAGTTTGTTTGATTTCTTATTCTGGAAGTTATTTCACAACGGAAATTTTTAATTGATATTTACATTAAACTATATGTGGAACAGCGTTGATTCGTTTATTAGTTCATCAACCTGCTTTGTAATCGGACGAAATTTACAGTGGTCGTCTATCAATTTGAGTTATTTTTAAAAAATAAACATCTTTCGCGAAACTAAAAAAAAATAATGAAAATACTTATGAGAAATTCGGCGCTATGTTGCTCTCTGTCGCCAATCGCGACAGTGTTGCGACTTGAAAAAGAAGAAGAAAACTGTCTCCTGTCGCGCAGGTTTGAAATAAGTCGGTCCCGGTTTTTTTGGCGTTTCAAGTGAACTTTTCCAGGGCTCCAGGCACAAGAAATAAGTGAAAGCCTCCTTGTGCTAAACATTTGGTGGAAAGTGATTGGCTTTGATGCTAAACATTTGGTAAGTGTGAAGAGCCGACGCTAAGCTATTTTGCAATGGCTAGTATTAAGTTACCTACGGCCTGTGCAAAATATTTATTTCGAACAAATTTCGAAAGTATCTAGTAATTTGAGGTTTGCTTTATGGCAATAGTCAAAGGGGCCGATGATATAATTGTATCAAAATCGATTTTTTTGTGATTTTTGTCTGTGAAAGTTTCTTGGAACGTCACTTTGACGCACAAGTCAGTTGGAACCATAAGCCTTTGAATATAAAACTAAGTTAGTTTTACTAAGTTAGTACTAAGTTAGTTTTATATTCAAAGCCGTAAGCACTTCGAACAGGGGCGGATCCAGCTTTAAATTCAGGGGGGGGGGTTATGTAGAAAAAATACAATCTTC